TCATTGTTGTTTGGTGGGCCCGGGCTGGATTCGAACCTGCCACCTTAGGTGTACGTGGCTAGTGCCTTAGCCACCTGAGCCACAGGCACCGAGCCCAGTGGTATGTTTAGATTAAAAAAATAACCTATGAGTATGTTGATAATTTGACCAGTCTGTATAATTTCCACTCACCTAATTCACCTGTCAAGTTCTACTGAGTCTGAACTATTTCTGGGCCTATCTATATGCCATCAGGCTAGAATATGCAAGCCTATACACACGTGTGTGTACACACATGTACATATAGCATACATGCAATCAATTCCAAGATTCTCTCCTAAGTTTGAGCAGAAACAAGACACACTTTAGCATTTAGTTTTAAAAGCTAATTAAAAAAAAAAATTTTAAAGCTATTTTTTTTCAAGGACCTTGGCCTAATATAAGTTATTTCTATTTGAGGCTTTGGCTGTTTGGTGTGCTCCAATTCACAGGCCCAGGTTACCTGGTTAGGATCAGGATCCACTTCATCCCAGTTGTGAGTGAGATGGCCTTGGTCAATGGATTCAAAGGGCTTGTGACACACTGAGGGTAGAATCCTATACAGCCAGCTGGGGGAAACAAGAGCACACAAGACACACAACCTTAGCGCAATGTTCTGAGTGTTACCCTGACTGGCTCAGGCAGTACCATCAGGAAGATATGCAAGTCAATAAAAATCCGTGGGCTTGAATGTGAGAAACAAGGACATAAGGACCACTTTCTATAGCCATCTGCTGCGCAGAGCCCTGGCCTCTTCTTTTCACTCCACCCATCGCACTTCAAATGGACTCTAGCCCCTGTTTATTCCCTTGCTGCCAAAAAAATGAAGAATTATCTTTCCCAACAACTACAAAGGAAGGGCAAGTACCCTGAAACATATCTGTGCAGGAAATTCTATATACATCATGGGATGCTAAGCCTTGCTCTGGAAAGTAAGGATAATGAATCCTAAATGGATTGAGAGAATATTAGTGGTATCCTTGTTATTTTTGAAATAGAAATCAATTGTCTCCTGTAGAATTATAAAAGTAATACATGCCAATGGTCTTAAAAAAATAATTCAAGTACTTTCAAAAGTCCTGAAAGGTAAATCCCTGCTTCTCCCCCACTTCTTCTAGGGTACTCCTCAGAGGCATCAGAGCTTGTGGATTTTTTTATATATATTCTTTCAGGTACCTCTGATGCACATATAAGCAAAATTTCCAAATCATTGCATGACTTTTTTCTCAAAATAATAACGTGTTAAGAGTGCCTGATCAACTACATCTTCACAAATCTGGGGTATTAATAATTGTAGTCTTATAGGGGAAAAATAGTATCTCGATTTATTTTTTATTTCCTTCCTTGTAAGGCTGAGAATATCTTCATTTTGCTCATTGGCCCTTCATCAGTTTTCTATGAATTACTGGAAGTACTTTACTATTTTCTATTGGGTTTATTCATCATTTTGATATTAATTTGTAAGGGGTTTAGGAGATTAATACTTTCATATTCCAATAAGAATATATGTCCATATTTTATTATACACATTTTATAGCTTTGCTTTTCTTCTTCTTCTGATTTTTTTTATTTGAGACAGAGCCTCAAGCTATTCCCCTGGGTAGAGTGCTGTGGCATCACAGCTCACAGCAACCTCCAACTCCTGGGCTCAAGCGAGTCTCTTGCCTCCGCCTCCCAAGTAGCTGGGACCACAGGCGCCCGCCACAATGCCTGGCTGTTTTTTGGTTGCAGCCATCATTGTTGTTTTGTCAGGCTTGGGCTGGATTCGAACCTGCCACCTTAGGTATATGTGGCTGGTGCCTTAGCCACTAGAGCCACAGGCGCTGAGCCTGTTTTTCTTTATTATTATTATTTTTTAAGTTTTCCCATCTGTATATGTTAAGGCCTGAGCCAAAGATCTTTCTGCCAGGACCAGATCTCAGGCTTCAGGAAGAGAAGAAGACTCTTATAAAGAAATCCTGAGGGACACCAGGAGGGGAACCCTCTAGAGTTGAGAGGGACACTAAAACTCACCAAAAGAGACCCAAGTCCTTTCAGACAAGGTGTAGAAAGAAGAGGAACCCTACTTCTGACCATGGAAGACCAGACCTGCATTACAAGCTCTGGTCCCTTGAGCCTGAGGATGGTTTAGGGAGTAGAGTTTGTCATCCAACACTGAGCCATCTGGGAATAAATGGGTTAGATTTGTTCAGTTTCCATTTGATTCCTCTAGTGCTTCATGATGTGACACCTTGCACTTACTAAGCCTCTCCAGCTCCTAGTAGGATATGAGGTTGAGAGCGTGTTGCATATCTTAGAACCAGCTGTGAAATCCTGGGTAAGTTATTAAACTTTTTAGATCCTATATTCTTCAACCTTATCTCCTATTATTATTGTGAGAACTCAAAACAGTTCATGTACCTAAAATGCTTGGCACATAGTAGGTGTTAACTTATTATTTATTGAATTATCTTTCTTCCTTTAATCATCGGGGTTTTTATCACGGTCCAAATTTCTCACATTCTCTTTCCTGACTCGTACCTTCTCAGGACACAAGGGGTCAGCTAATTGGTCTAATACAAATTAATCCCTGATAAACAGAATCTCTGACAGTTTTGTGGTGACCCTACACTCTGGTTTAAATGAGTAGCAAATAAGAATTTCAGGCTGGCCCAAGTATAGATAGGGCTGGTCCCATATTCCTACTAGAGATTTTGGACATTTTCACAAAATTCTAGTGGGTACCTTTGCAGAGTTCCAAACAAAGGTACTCTTTGGATGGGTGAGCCATACCTAGTGTCCCTTATTTTTTAGCTGAATTTCTGAAACTCCCCAGGCAACACTACATTGCCCTGGACAGAGACTTAATTCTGATTCAGGGAGCAATGCCAACTTCTTAATAAAATGACAACGGCTCCTTTTCAGCCTCCTGGAACAGAGCTTAGCTCCTGCTGGCTGAAGATATTGCTGAATAACAGGGGCAGGCAGCAGAATCCGGAGACCAGGTGGCCTGTTGGGGAACAGGCCATAAAGTCAAGAACACAGTGGTGGAGGCCAGGTTGTCATAAATTAGAATGGACAGGAATTGTCTGTGTGCTTACCTGACCCTGTCTGTTTGGGCTTGCAGTGAGAGAGATGATTGAATAGAAATAAAATTAACCCCTGAGTTTTGGCATGTATGGGAAACTTTATCTTTTCCTCCCTCTTCCATGTGCATATCAACTGAAAGAAAAGAAGTACTGAGACTGATATTATAACATTGAACCTGCCATATGTCGCATTCAGCTCTCCAACAACTCCCTAGAGATACCTTGAAATCAAGGCAGAAATTCTGCTCTGGTGGCAATAATTAATGTTGATGATCATAACAATAACTAACATTACTTGGGTACTGACTAACCATGTGCCCAGCAATGTTCTAAGCACTTTACACCCATCCTTTCCTCTCATCCTGACCATGATTAGAAAATAAGTACTAGAATTATTTCTATTTTACAGATGAAGAACCAGAGGTTCTGAGAAGACAGATGATTTGCCTAAGCCCACACAGCTGGAAAAGAAGGATCACAGATTTAAACTCAGGCTCCTGACTCCAGAGGGGGCATGATTAACCACCAAAGGAAAGCATCTTTATTATTTGTGTGATACATCATACTCACTATCTCATTTGTTTCTCAGAAGGACCCATGAGAAAAAGATAAACCGAGACCCTCCTGCTGGTAGTACAAGACCATTTGTTCTCCTCCCCAAATCTCTAATGTCACAGCATCCCTCTTCAGCGATGTGTTAGCCTAAAATACCAGCAATTATACACCACTTATTTAAATCACAACACTTACTGCCTCCTGAAACCACAACACCTACTGCATTCAGCCTGCCCCATAGGAGTTAATCAAGGGAGCGAGTTTATTGACCTGGCTTGTAGGATTAGAGCAAACATGAAACATGACATACTGTGTTAATGAATATGCTGGTTTCTAGCAAAGGCGAATTCCATAGTTAAAACTTTATTAATTCAAACCACAAGAGCCCATAATACATGACCTTTCAAATGCCCAAGCTTGGATTAGCCAACATTTTCATGTAAAGAACATAACACTTCTCATCAGCTGAAGAACCTATTGCCGTGAATCTCCCATAATTATGAATTAGTCATTATAAAACAAAACAACATAGGCAAACCAAAAACCCAGACTCACTGGAAACAATCTTTAGAGGAAAGCCAGACTGCTAAGAACATTTCATTGGAGTACAGGTGAGTTTGTAAGGGGACCTAGACATATGGCTGCTCCCCCATCTTCTTCCACCAGTAACCTGATTCTAGCTGGGGTTGGGGCCCATCCTGCTCTGGCTATGACCTAGAACATAGCCTATGAGAAGCAGGATCTTGGGCAGCTCTGGGAAGCTATGACTCCGGGGTAGGAGGCAGCACGAAGTCCTGTCGTAGTTCCCAGAGTCTGCAGGACTCATACAATCCTTGTACCTTCTCTTATTGGTGCTCCGTGGACAAGTGAAAGCCGATCCTGAGAGCTGCTCAGCATAAAGATTGTAGGGGCAGACCTGAGGATTATTCTGAAACAAAACAGCCAATAATTTCATTCCAGTCTGGAAAGCATCCCATCTTCCCACTGACCAACTCAGAGAGGGACCCTGACTTGGATGGGAATGTTCTGGACCACTGTGCATGACCATTTCCCACCTGTATATGCTTTTTGTAATAACTTCACTTTTTATTTCAGATTAATATGAGGGTACAAACAATTAGGCTATGTTTGCATTTGTTAGGTAAGGTCCCTGTTATAGTTGTGTCCCTCACCCAGGAGATGTGCCATATACCCTTTCATTAGGCCGATTAGGGGACAGCATACCAATCGCCCTCCCTTTTCCCCTATCCACCTTTATTTTTATTTATTTATTTTTTTGAGACAGAGTCTCAAGCTGTCCTCATGGGTTAGAGTGCTGTGGCATCACAGCTCACAGCAACCTCCAACTCCTGGGCTCAAGCGATTCTCCTGCCCCCACCTCCCAAGTAGCTGGGACTACAGGCTCCTGCCTCAATGCCCAGCTATTTTTTGGTTGCAGCCATCATTGTTGTTTGGCAGGCCCGGCTCAGCTATATGTGGCTGGCACCTTAGCCACTTGAGCCACAGGTGCTGAGCCACCCTATCCTCCCTTATTCAACCCTCCTTTCCCCAACTCAAATTTTAATGTGACTTTTCTTCTGATTATAAAAAGTAATATATGCTTATTGTAGAAAATTTACAAATATTGACATTGTCATAATACATTGGTGTTTTCCTTCATTCTTATCCTCCAAAATGGGGATCTTATGATACATGTAACCCTGTAAAAGTCAGACCTTTTTTTTTTTTTTTTT